AGAAGGTGCTCCGTCAATGTTTGCTGAGTGAATACATGTGCTCTCTCGCTCTAAATGGCCATTGCCTGGCTGTGAACTCAAGGGCACAGCAGGTGGAATTCATTTTTGTGTTCTGGGGCCTGACAGAGAGAAGGGGCTTGGGAATCATTTGTGTAGTGATTTTCAGAATAATGTCAGGGCCTAAAACTATAACAGTAAAATGCAGCACCTGCTGCCCCAGCTGCTCCCTCTTCTGGGGCTGGCGGGTCAGGATCTGTGGAGGGAGGGAGCCCGGTGACCCCAGGGGCCATGGCACCCACAGCATCGGTGGCTCTGCTGCTTTCCACAGCAGGCCCCATCAGCTTTCTGCCTGCTCTTTGCTGTCGAACTTGTCTGTCGCAGCTGTCCCGGGCAGTAGGTCCCGCACGAAGCTGCCCTGGGAGGAGTGGGGCAGTGGGAGGAGTGGGGCAGTGGGAGGAGTGGGGCAGTGGGGAGAGGCAGCCGTGCTTGTTCTCGGTCTTGCTCTGAGGTAGTCACTTTCCCTGGGGTCTCGTATGAAAAATGAAGGCAGTCGGCTATGTGCTGCCCTCCTGCTGCGACTTAGGAGCTGACCCGAGGGCCAGAAGGTTAGCTTGGTCTGTGCACACTCAGGAAGGCCCTGAGCGCCGTGCCTGAGAGCAGGGTGGCGGCAGGACTGTCATCCCAGTGTCTTCGGGGACTGCGCCGAGGAGCCAGGCCACATCCCGCGTGGGGTGACTTCCATGTCCACGGGGCCAGGCTCATTTTGGGTATCTCATGCCGCTCCCTGAATTCTCAAAACAGCCTGTGAGCTGTCATTATCTGTCCTATGGGAAAGCAGGCAGGATGTAGGCCTGAGACAGGCTGGTGCCAAAGTCTGTGCCCTTTCCACAGGACAGGGTATTTGGAAACAGCCGTTCAATTAACCTTCAGGTATGGCGAGGCCCTACGGTCGCTGACAAGCTAGTCTGTGAAGGTTCTCAGGAGGACTGGCCATGCCATACCATACCACACCACACCAGGCCATGCCAGGCCACACAGGGAAGTGCAGGCCAGCTGAGAGGCCGAGGGAGCAAGGGGAAAGTGTGGGCAAAGCCAGGAACCTTTGCTGTGGTTTCTGCAGGAAGGAACAGCTGAGGCCAGGGAAGAGGGCTTGGGGCTGAGTAGCCCGAATCACTTCTGTGGGCTCCTGGCATTGGCTGTGTCCTGTGGTCTGTTGCCTGGCCCTGGGGTGATTAGGGCCGGGGTACAGTTGGCTGCAGAGTGAGAGCCCCAAGCCCCCCTTAGTGAGGTGGGCAGGCGTGGCTCTAGACTGCCTGGGTTTTGAATAAGGTGTGTTCCAGGGTAGGGGTCACTACGTCTAGGAATTGGCCAGCCCTGGGAGGGCCGTCCCTCCAGGGTCAGCAATGTGTCCAATGTTAGAGCATCAGGAAAAACCGATGTTATGGGCAGCCCTCCGCAAGACAGGGGGCAGTGGCTCAGCTGTGAGGAGCCCTTGCCCTCAGGGAGGGTTCCAGATGCACCAGACCCTCCGAGTGCAGGGCAGGGTTGGAACGTGCCCCCGTCTCCGCCTCCTGTGCAGGAGGTGGGTACACCTGACCCCTTCCTTCAACCCTGCCAGGTCTCCTGCCCTACTTTCCAATCGGTCCCTTTGTAGGAAGGGAGAGCCACTTTTAACAGCCTCATAAACCAGATGAAGTTTCCATCATAAAATTTCTGAATCACAGACGTCATGTTTTCCCTGCTTCCCATTAAGGAGCCGGGCTCCTGATTTATGTTCTCGAGGCTTCGTGTCGCCTGCTCCCAAAATTACAACTCACATGGATATCCCTGAGCACTCTCCATGGTGTTAAAAAGCAAAGCCAGGAGTCCCAGTGTCCTCTCGCTAAGTTTGAAAGGAAATTAGAGGCCCTTCCTTTCCATTTGGCAGCCTACCAGGGCATGGCCTCTGTTCAAAAGCCAGCAAGGACCGTTACTTTAAAAATGGCCTGTTAAAAGCTTTAACCAGATTCTGCCCACACGACGAACCGCCCACCACAGAATAATTAACAGTGCAGCAGGGGACGCTCAGCCTTCTTGGACGCTGCCTGGGAGGACACGCCGCTCACGGCGTCAAAGGGCAGGTTGAGGGTGCTTGGAAAATGACTTCTCTCCTTGCAGAACTCCTATTTAAACACAACAGCCTCGCTCCAATAACCCCCACTCCTGTGTAAAAACCCTCCCCAACAGCCTCAAACTTAGCAGCTCTGTGATTCCAGAAATCTTCACAGTCCTCTACACAAAAGACGCACCCGGGATCTCTTTCTATGTCGTCCTGCCTGGAGCAAGCTCCCTGAGGGCAGGAGTTGTAGCTGACCCGTTTCTAGTTCCAGCACCTGGTACAGTCGGCCTCACCGCGGGTGCACAAAACGTCTCTTGAACTGGATGTTCAGCTCTGTGGACTCAAAACTACTTTTTAATACAAACCACGGTTCCTTCATCTGCCTACTTCTTCCCTCCACGTGTCACTCCTGACCCCTCTCCCCTCCGTAGGTGGCCCAAGGTCAGCGAGAGCCCCCCCCCCCCCACACCCACCTGACAGCAAGGACTTCAGGAAACGCAGCCACTTCTCAGTTTGCAGCACACACCAAGGGCAGTCAAGACACCGGGCTCGCGGACAGAAGTTTATTCATACACAAAGGTGCACGCCAAGGGCGCCAGTCTAGGGTTACACGACGTGAAACAGTAGAAAAATCAACCAGGAAAGCCGGAAATTCAGTGAAGCTACTACAAAATGGGGCGAGTGGACTGAAAACTAGGATTTTCCTTGCAAGTTGCTTTTCATAAAATTTTTACTTTATGAATTAAATACATTGAGAAACAGTGAAAATATATTTACAGTCATTTAAAATGGGCACTACCAACATATTTAATTTAAAAAAATCTTTGCTGTTTCTTTGCCTGTTTCTTTCAAAGAGAATTTTAAATATGACTTTAGCTTTTAAAAAATACAATAAGGAAATAATTACATTCTTAATATGAAAACATTTTACAACCTATCGCCATGGTCAATTAATTCTGAGTATCCTTTAAAAGTTGATGTTAAAATTTAAAGTGAATATTTCCTTTCTTGTTAGAAAATCAAAAAGATTATCTCATTAAAAACACCTTTGGTCCCTAAGAATTATGATCTGAAGAGCTCCTTTTGAAAGTATCCTCCATGGCTACACTAAAAAGACCGGGTAATACTTGTGCACGGTGAAGTTGAGGTTTTCTGGAAGACCAGAGCTGGAACTGTTTCATGAACTGCGGGCAAAAGGACGCGTCTGAAGCCCACCACTTCCCAGGCGCAGTTTCCTTCCCTTTACAGACGATGGAGTGGCCTGCTATGGCTTGGGGACTCACGAATAGAGGTGGCTTTGCTTTTTCCACGGTGCTGTGCCACGTGTTTACGGCAGGAATGCTTTGGTTTCACTTTAGTTTATTTCACAGTATGAACCCAGCCCATCATGGTGACAAGACAGTGACAACCAGAAAAAAAAGAATTATCCTCCTTCAAACTATGTCATGAACTTGAAGTTACTGTTCCCATTAGAAAATTATTTTAGTAAGAGGAAGGTAATAATTTAACATTGAAGTATTGCCACGACCTTTATGTAAGCTGCAGGGCACCCTGCCAGCCAACCCTGACGCCTGAGACCTCCAGTGCTGTGCTCCCAGAAGAGGCTGTTTCAAGGATGGACATCCACCTGACTGCAGGGGCCACCTGTGAGCTCAAGGTGTCGGCCCTGCCCTGCGGCATGACGTGCCTTTTCTCTAGGTGCGGGTCACCGGCCACACGACAGGCTACCCATCCTTGGATGGTGTCAAATGACATGAGTTTGGTGCATGAACAGAGCACCTCACCTGGGTAGCAAAGTCTGTGGGCAAAATTTACATCCCCCCAAATAGTGGGTGAGTTTACAGCCTCTTTGGAAAGGTAAGGGGTGGCCACAAACAAGGGAGCTTTGCCCACAACCCTATACCTAACCCTGGCTTCAACACTGCCCTTTGAATCCCGTGCACAAGCGCCAAATTGTGGCCATAATGATAACGAATCTCAAACTCCTTCCTGGGGGTGGCCTCCAGAGCTGAGGACATCCTTTTTGAAACAGACTTTTCAAAAGGAGTAAATCTCCACCTTTTAGGGTAGTTCTGTCTATTTAGAAATAGCCAATAATAACTTTGGGACGAGAAAGATACAGGGGAAGGTTAGGCCTGGCCACGCCAGGGCTCAGGCACAGAGGGCGAGACGGGACTGACCCAGCTGGTAAATGGCCACCTGCCAGCCCCAAGGGAAGGTCTCATGGAAGGTCTCATGGACAGTGGCCCGTGCTCCTGGGTCAAGTCTGGTGCCTGGGGTGACCCAGCAGACCCACACTGGTTACCCTGCAACCGCCACAGACTCTGGAAGCCGAGGGAGGGAGCTACTGGCCTTGCAGACAGATGGGCCTTGCCCTAGATGCCCCTAGATTCTGGGAAGAGGGAGCCATAGCCTGCCTGTTGGGCCTCTGCACCCCTCATCCTGGCTTCTCCGGGGACCCTGGCCTGCCTGTCGGGCCTCTGCACCCCTCATCCTGGCTTCTCCGGGGACCCTGGCCTGCCTATCGGGCCTCTGCACCCCTCATCCTGGCTTCTCCAGAGACCCTGGCCTGCCTGTCGGGCCTCTGCACCCCTCATCCTGGCTTCTCCGGGGACCCTGGCCTGCCTATCGGGCCTCTGCACCCCTCATCCTGGCTTCTCCAGAGACCCTGGCCTGCCTGTCGGGCCTCTGCACACCTCATCATGGCTTCTCCAGGGACCCTGGCCTGCCTGTTGGGCCTCTTGCCCCCACAACCTGGCTTCATTATGAAATCAGACACACTTGCAGCTGCCACAGAGGCAAGGGGTGCTTGTTCCTGGGGCACGTTTTGGGAGGGTGATAAAATGAGATCACTGTCAGAATTCTGGCAGGATGGCTCGTGTGTGTCTAATATGTACAGATATAAATTAAAAACTATTTATTGAACATATACAAATAAATAACTTATTCTGAAGTAAATGCTTTAAACTTTCTGATCAAATGCGAAATTTCAAGGGAGTATCTGGCATTGAGGGAATCCAATGTCAGGGCCCCCTTCCAGGGCACCCATTTTGAAAGGCTCTATGGACCACAATGGGATTCGTGAAAGTTTGCCTCCTCTTTAAAAGGCTTATGGTTGTGGCAGTGAATTACAAGCCTGGGTTTTTAAAACAAAATGTGCATGCTGGGAGTCGAGCACCAATCAGCTGTGCCCTTGGGCAAGTCCCTGCTAAGGCTCTGGGGCCTCCTTACCCGGTGAGGAAGCTGGCGGGTGACGGCTCAGGCCCATGTGACACACCGCTTCACCTGCCGGCTCGCCGCTGCCCCCCTGTGCTGGGCCAGGACTGAGACTTCAGGCTGGCCATCTCCCACTTCTCCTAACCACCAAAACCTCGCACAGTTCTCTTCGGCAAAGCAGGCTGCCAATCGGAATGGCCCAAGAGCCTCAACTGGGGAAACTATCTGACCCGAAGGCAGCAAAAACCGATGGAGGAGCCAACGTTTTCCCCTTTATAGAAAATGCATTTTGTGGGATACGAAGTGGTCCCAGCTGCCTGCAATGGTGGGAAGTCCCCACCGGAGGGAGGGCTCCTCTATGGCAACGCAGTGGACCGGCCCTGAGACGTGTGGCGTCCCCGCCCGACCTGCCTGGATGTCCTAGTGGGAAGCTGGCATCACGGATGCTGGTGTAATGGGCCTCCACGGACTAGGCCAGGAGGAACGTGCGTCAGAGGAGGAACGCCGGCTGACGGCTCAGGAACCCAACACGCTCCCGGCAGATGGCTTTGCGATCAATTCAAGTTTCAGGTGGACTGCAGCAGCTTCCAGTTCTTGTAAAACTTTCTTATACACGGGAGACCACTTTTCCGCTCGAGTAATCCAATGTGGCCCCTGCATGCCTCAGGCACCACGACCTTCAACATGAATCCTAACTGTACAGTCCCGTGTGCCACATGGCTGGCGCTCTGAAAGCATGTCTGGGGGAAACTCCTTGTCAGTGTTTTCCTGCCGTCTCTTCCTCTGCGTGACAAAGGACATTCTGGACACTGGACAGAAGGCTTGCACCAAGTGTGACACCTCTCTATTCTCTGCTCAGGGAAGGGGCGGTCGCTGCTGGGACTGGTCTCCGTGAATCCGCCTGCGGAGGCTTTCAGGGGCGACTTATTTTGTCATCAGTGACTGCATCTTCCCGTAATGGGGAATTCCTGACAGCGGTCTCCGGGAGACCAAGAAGTTAAATCTGACTTTTAAACCCAGGGAGTAGATACCAGCTCAAACCATGAACTCTGTTTTTTTTTTCCTTTATGCCTTAGGCATCTGAATTCTCCAAGCGATATTGCACAGAAGGCAAGTAAGAAAGCTGGGAAAGGGGCCCTACCCGCACCCACCCCACTCAGGAGAGGCAGCACGGCCAGGCCCACCCATGCATTAGTGGTTTAACTTGACAAGCTGGAGGAAGGGAGAGGGAGGGGCAGGAGGCCCTGGAATTCCTGCCTCGTGCTCTAAGATGTTATAATTCCATGAGGGAACAAGTTCCAGAACTTGCTTCCCTTTCAAAGGACTGCCCTGGCCCACGCAGCAGTAAACGTCCTGTACAGTGGCGAGCAGCCAGCCCCTGTCCCCAGAGGCTCCTGGTGGGAGGAGCACCTGCCGGCTCCGATGTGGATTAAGGGCTGGGGATGCCAGCCCAAGGGGGAGGAGGGCACACTGTTAGTGAAGTGTTAAAACCCTCTGCTACCTGTCAAAAGTAGCACAAATAATAAAATAAGGAACCTCTGAAAAATCCTTAGATCTAAGTGTGACACACAACAAAAAAAATTCTTAAAAAACAGGTTAAGAAGAATGGCAGCTTTTCATGTCTTGGTGACAAAAGCATCTGTCCAAAAAATAATAAAAGGTAAAAAATGTTTCACAGCGTGATTTTCTCATGCCTTTACCTCTGATGACGAGGGGGACGGGCACGTGGGGAGGGTACGCCAAGACACAGAGTCCACGTCAGGGTTGTGTAAGCCCCTGGCCCTCCTGGTGGGTGTGCGAGGCGAGCCCAGTGCCCACGCGCCAGCCACACTCATGCCCGGGGCAGCCGGGGATCCAAGCTCTTCCCCGTCGAAAGGTTTCACTTGGGGGCTCACAGAACCATCCATCCTCAGTCCAGGGCTGGGCTGGAATCGGTGAAAGCAATGGCTTAACTGGTTAGAAAGATGTCACTTTGCCTGATAGCATCCTTTCAAACACCTTTCCATCACTTTTTTTGTTTTTTAACAAAAGTTGGGGACCAAAGTCTTACAAGTACATCTTTTTTAAAGGCGCCAGTATACAGTAGAAGGAATGCAAGTGGGCCTGGGTGAGAGGCACTGGCCTCAGAGCTCGGTCGTGAAGCCTCTGGAGTCGCGCAGCTGAGGCCACTCTGGGCAGAGCTTCCTGCCGTCACACAGATGAGGACACGGGCAAGGGGGTGTGCAGTCTCTGAGGCTGGAGCAGTCCTGCTGTCCCCTATGTCCCGTTCTTCAATTCCCATTCCTAGAGAAAAGGAAAGTCTTGTAAGTCGACAGGGCAAGAGGATCAGGCTGGACAAGCCACGCCACCATCCACATTCGACTCAGAGCAGGTGGGTGCTCGGCTACTGCAGAAAACTAAACACAATCAATGACCAATGACCCGGCAATTCCACTGCTAGGTATTTACCTATCACAATGGACAGCATGGTCTCCAGCAGATACCACACCCCCCGTTCACAGCAGCACGACTCACACAGACAGGAGGCGGAGGCAACCCAATACCCACCGATGGATAGACACAAAAGACACGGCGGGTACAGACACCACCACATATTCAGCCTTAAAAAGGAAGGGCTTCTGACACATGCTGCAGCCTGGATGGACCTTGAGGACATGATCAGAGACAAGCCAGTGACAAAACGATAAATCCTGTAATGATTTCCCTCACATGAGGGACCTGGAAAAGTCTAACCAGGACAGAAAGTGGGCCGCGGGCAGTGGCTCACACCTGGAATCCCAGTACTGGGGGAGGCACAGACAGGAGGATGGCATGAGGCTAGGAGTTTTGAGACCCGCCTGGGCAACATAGCAAGACCTCATCTCTATTTCAAAAAATATAAAAACAAAAAAGGAAGTAGAATAGTGGGTCTCGAGGGCTGGGGTGGGGGGGCTGGGGAGTGAGTGTTTAATGGAGACACAGCTTCAGTTTGGGAAGATGAGAAAGTTCTGGAAAGGATGGTGGTGATGGCTGTGCAACAGTGGGAATGTGCTTAATGCCGCTGAACTATCGACTTAAAAATGCTTTAAATGGTCAATTTTACATTGTGTTTATTTTACCATAATAGAAAAATGTTTTTTAAAAAAATACATGGATGCTTAAACCCAGTCAGTGGAGCAGCTGGACTTGTTCCATCCACAGGCCCTGAGTGCTGGTTGCGGATGGCTGTGGTCTACACAGTGCCAGCAAAGCGAGAGCAGGGACAGTGGGCACCGGGCAGGCACTGTGCTATGCACTGGGCATGGCTGTGTCTGGTCTGATGACAGTTCTGCAAGGTGGACAGTACTCCCACTTCCTAAGTGAAGAGACAGGTAGCTGCGGGGCTCATGCCTGGAACCCCAGCACTTGGAAGGGCTGAGTGAGGTGGGAGGATTGTGTGAGACCAGCCTCAGCAACACAGGGAGACCCCAACTCTACAAAAAATACAAAAATTAGCTGGGTGTGGTGGCGCACACCTGTAGTCGCAGCTACTCGGTAGGCTGAGGCGAGAGGATTGCTTGAGCCCGGGAGTTTGAGGTTGCAGTGAGCCATGACCGTCACTGCACTTGAGCCTGGTCAACAGAGCAAGACCCTGCCTCAATTGATCGATAAGGAGACAGATGCTTAGTGACTTGCCTTAGGTCCAAAGTGATAAAGCTGGGCGCCCAAACCACTGTTCCACAGCAAAGGCCTCCCATCTCCACTTTGCCCTGCTGCCTCCCGACAGGCCACACTCTGGCTTTCATATCTGCTTCTCTCTACACACACCCATGCCCGTTCTCCACCTGACATCACCTGGCCAGCCTCATGTATCCTGAGGACTAGGCTTCAGTGATTCCCCACCCCCACCCTGTGCCCCTTCCTGCCCTGACTCAGGGAGGCAATGCTCCCATCTTCTGTGCAGTTTCTGTGCTTTTCAACAAGCCATGTCACAGCAATAAATGTACCTGCCCCTCCCTACCAGATACACACCCTCCATGTTCTTCCTTGCTTCTTCCTTTCCAGCCACTCATCTTTGGGTCCTCAACACCCAGTGCAGCTGCACAGAGGCAGACGCCTGGACTACTCCTGGTCTCTGGAGCTATGTGGATTTGAAATGGGGGGATTTGAAATGGGATTTGGTCATGGGATTGAGTTCCAGAAAGAGGAGGCGAAAGAGCAGACGCAGGTCAGAGCAGCAGCAGCACCATGCAGGACAGAGGCCCTCAGTTCCCCGCATGGATGGCTCTGGAGGAGGACAGCAGAAGGCACAGATGCCAGGGCCAGACTTTCTGTGCCTCAGCCACTGTAGGGGGGGGTTGGAGAAGTTGCTTCATCTCTCTGAGCCTTGGTACAACGTGAGTCCCACCAAAGACTTCAAAGCGCGATTGGGAAGATCAAAGGAGAAAGGCTCTGTGAATGCCCCGACCACAGCAGCCGGCACACCATGAGCCTGGCCACCAAACACGGGCTTTCTTCTCTGTGCCCGGTGACCCTGCGCCGGGATGCAGATGCCTGACTCCCACTCTCCTTCCAGGGGCTCATTAACTGGGTCATGAGTACACTGCACGTCTCTGCATGCTGCATACAATGAACAATTTCTCATCTTTTCTCAATCAAGAGCTCAAGTTCAACTCATGGTTAAATGCACAATGCTAGCAAATCTGGCAGAAATAAACCCCAAACCACAGCGATGATAAAACCATGCTGAGGCACTCTGACTCTTGGCGGAAGTATTCTGCAGAGGGGAGGATGGTTAGCTGGGTACGCCTCATGCCTTCTTGCCCCTTCAGCAGCCTCCCTGGGGTAGCTATGTGGGCTGTTGTAAGCAGAGAAGCATGCCCAGGGGACAAGGTCACGAGGTCGGCGCTCAAGGGCAGTCCTCTGTTGTACACATCCCCCATTTCCTCCCAGGCAGTGGGGGTTTGAGAGAGGGAAGACCCCATGATACCTCCACACGGTGCCACATAAGTTTAGCAGACAAGTCTAAGAAACAGTGACATTTCCAAGCCCAGGTCACACTGGCCACAGAATAAGTGACAGGATGAGAACCGGTAGACTCCGCTTAACTCGGAGCAGGGCAGGAAACAGAATCTCCAGGTGAATGTGTCACTAGAGGCAGCGGCATGAAATCTGGAGCAGCTCAGCGCCTGCCCCTCGGGCACCTCCCAGAGTGGAGCCACAGTTTCCATGCCCGGATGTCCCTTGGCACATGGCCTGCCCAGATGAAGGGAAGGGACACCTGGCCTGGAGCTGTGCCTGGTGGGTGGTTCTGAGCCAGGAAGCCCTGGGGCATGGGACTGGAAGTCGTCTGACTTTTTAGAACCCTCTCTCGTGCTCAGTGCTCCTCACCAAGAGTTGGAAGGTATTTCAGGAATACCGCAGCCGGGTAGTGCTTCCCACAGCCAGAATACGTCAGACCCCTTGGTCCTCAGAAAAAGGCAGGAGGCAGATGACAAGTTTACGGTACCCAAATGCATTCATGTTCTCAGCATCTACAGGCTCCACCACAATCCCCACCTCCAACCGGGGGTCCCTTGTCACTTGTTCTCAGAAATCCTGGGAAACCCTGCTCAGTCCGTCCCCTTCTGACTTCTGCAACAAGATTCTCAGCTGGAGGGACGAGAGGGGCTTCCGCTGTTTTCTGGACCTGTCAATGGGGACCCGTCTGGACAGCTGGCTGTGCATCCGAGGTGGCCCAGGATCACTCACTCCCCATTCACCCAGAGGGAGCAGAAGGGAGGGGGCGCCTGAACCTCTGCGTGACGGAAGCACACGCAGTGACAGGAGCCCTTTCGAGGGTCGGGACCACAGAATTTTCAGTCCGATTTCTTTGATGATAAGGAAACCAAACAGATGAAGTCCATTGACAGCATCTCGCATCTGCAGGTCCTTAGCGGGATGTCATCGGGCAGCTCAGTTCTAAACACCCCCCAGGCAAAACATATCCTCCACCAGCGAGCCCAGTGGTCACCAGCTGAGAACACTTGGCAAATACAAAGAAAAGCAACGGAGACGACAGTCAGCCATTCCTCCCTTCCAGACTCGCCAACACACAGGTCTTCAGTACATGAATCTGCCATGGAGGACTGCTGTTCTGGGGGACAGCTGGGGACAACCATGTTTCTTAGGGGCCCTCCTGTGAGCACCCCAAAGAGCACAGCAGGTGGGTGGTACTCATATTCCCATCTCGCAGGAAACACCTATTCCTGCCAAGTCGGAGTGGGCTCCAAAAGCCGCAAAGAATGCCCGGCTGGGCGCAGCGGCTAACGCCTCTAATCCAGCACTTCGGGAGGTAGGAGGATCACCCGAGCCCAGGAGTTCAACACCAGCCTGGGCGATACTGCCAAACCTCATCTCTAAAAAAAATACAATAAATTAGCTGGGCATATTGGTGTACACCTGTAGTCCCAGCTACTTGGGAGGCTGAGGTGGGAGGATCAACTGAGCCCAGGAGGTCAAGGCTGTAGTGAGCTGTGATGGTACCATTGTACTCAGCCTGGGCCACAGAGTGAGGCCCTGCCTCAAAAAAAAAAAAAAAAAAAAAAAGTTAATTCCGGTAGTGAGAGGAACCCACAGAGCCGGTACAGGAAGGGCTCCGGCGTTCCAGCCCCTCGGGTGGGGCAAACCACACTCCTATGGCTCCCCAGCTCACGCCATCATAAGCCGTGCGCTTTCACACACACAGCACTTTCTGCTGCTGCAGCCAGGACCCGTTTGCTTTGATCAACTGTGTTTTAAAAATTTCTGAGGTTTTAAAGTTTAGCATCAAAACTTGCTAGTGGCTAATCCCATGAGAAGACTGGACGCTGCCTCAGGAGGGACTAAAGAGGTTCCTCCAAGGCCCTCAGAGCCTGATTCACACAGCTAGCGGTGCTAGGGAGGGGGCTGGAGGCAAGTTTATTCCTGGACTCTCTTCTTTTTTTTTTTTTTAATTTTTTATTTTTTTATAATACTTTAAAAGTTCTAGGGTACATGTGCACAACTTGCAGGTTTGTTACATATGTATACATGTGCCATGTTGGTGTGCTGCACCCATTAACTCGTCATTTACATTAGGTATATCTCCTAATGC